ACTTGGGTTTATTGGAATGAGGCTTTGCACTTCAACTTTTTGATGCTTCAGGGTACAATCGTCTTTTGAGAGAGAAAAAACAGTAACAGATGAGCAAGAAGCAAACTAACTGTTCTACCAAAAATGAGATAAGATCAGAACTGTTCAGATTCAAGTTGAACATCTGCAAGGCACTAAGCCAGCGGTTCTCTATCTGGGGGTTGCAACCCCCAGGGGGGTCGCCTGGCCATTTCAGAGGGGTCGGGAGGCCACCTCCACTGGCCTCATCCCAAGGGCGCAGGCCAGGCGTGGGCTCCTTCGCATGAGGCCTGGCGTCATGCAAAGCCCTCCTTGCCTGCCTCGCTCTCTCACCATCCGGCGAGGGAGTGAGGCATGCAAGGGGTCCTCCTCCACGTGAGGCAACTACAACTCCCAATTGTCAGGGTCTATTTTCCCCAAATGTCTCCATTATTTTCTGTTGGTCACAGGAATCCTGTATGCCAAGTTTAGTTCAATTCAATTGTTGATGAAGTTCTGAATGCTCTTTGATGGCAGGTGAACTATACATCCAAGCAACTACAACTCCCAAATGTCAGGGTCTATTTTCCCTAAACTCCACTAGTGTTCAAATTTATAAAGGAGCAATAAAAATAATTGTATGGTTGGGGGTCACCACAACATGAGGAACTGTATTAAAGGGTCGGGGCAACCATATTTAGGGGTCCCGGTGTTAGAAAGTTTGAGAACCACTGCACTAAGCTGTGGTTGTGGCAACCCCTGGTGGTTCATGAGACTCAATTAGGTAGTCCGCGAGATGAATGGAGAATGGTTTTATTTGCCTGCGTTTATTTGTCTTCTTTGCTTGTTTCTTAAGCCCCACCTTATAAAATCAAGATTATCTGCTTTCAACTCGATTCTATGGCAGTGTAGACTTATATATAATCGAGTTCAAAGCAGTGTAGATCCAGCCTTAAATTCATGGTCACAATTCCATAATGGATGCATGTACACAACAAAAACAATGTAGTTTGACACTAGTTATAAATCTGCAAATTCCATGATCCCATTGCATTGATTGCTATCAAACCGCATCAGTTCTGCTGTGTAAATGAACCCATTACGGAATTATGGAATCTATTAATCTTTCTTCTAAAATCTACCAGAGTCTCTTCGTAGTTGTATCACATAGAACCTGTGACCTTAACCTCCAAAAATTTGGAATTGTTTTTCAAGTGGAATGTGGCTTCAAGAACTCAATATGTCAGTAAAGGTAAATGTTTCCCCTGACATTAAGTCTAATTATTTCCGACTCCAGGGTGGTGCTCATCTCCATATCTAAGTCGAAGAGCTGGCATTGCCCGTAAACACCAGGGTCATGTGACAAGCATGACTGTATGGAGCACCATTACCTTCCTGCAGAAGCGGTACCTATTGATCTACTCATATTTGCATGTTTTCAAACTGCTAGGTTGTCAGAAGCTGGTCCTAACAGTAGGAGCTCACCCCGCTCCTTGGATTCGAACCACCAACCTTTTGGTTAGCAAGTTCGGCAGCACAGCGGTTTAACCCGTTGCACCAATATGTCAAGGTAGGACATAAGGTAGGAAGATAAGAATGCTTCCTTTCTGTTTCCTCCCCAACATAAAATGGATTTTCCCCCTGTCTATTGAAGCCACTGCTCTGTGTACTGGTCTCTACAGCATGAGAAAACAAGCTTTAAACATGGCTCACCATATCCCTGCTCAGCCTTCATTTCTCCTGTCTAAACGTACTCAACTCCCTAATTGGCTTCTAAGAGGGCTCGGCTTCCCAAACTTTGATCATTTTGGTGGAAAATGGAGAGACTTGGGGACAACAGATGCAGCAAGAACAGTGAGATCAGGATAGAAAGTGAAAGAAACGTTCTATCACTGTGTCTGTGAGTCGAAGAAAAATGTTACTTCAAGACGATAGAATTGAGAAACCTAAATATGACACATATGAGAAAAAAACCCACGTGTTTTATATTTTAAATAAAATTTAAATCTCTCTGTTGGCTACAGTATAATCATTAGGCTTGGGTGATTTAAAAAAAGGTTCAAAACTCATTTCATATATAGTGGGCGCTGGCGATTCAATTTTGAAATGATTTTCGAAACTTTAATGAAAAAAAGATTGGAAATATCAGGAAATCCGAATCGCTTCATTTGCTTCATTAATGGAAGGTGCCCTCCAGAACCATTAGGCAATTTTGGCAAAGCCTAACAAACGGTTTGAAAATCTCGCAGTTTCCCTTCCCTTGCAGCGAGCTGTGATGCAGAGGGATGGGGTGGGCTGGCTAAGTACAGCTCTTCTTGAAGGCCACTGGGTGTGTGACCTTCAAGAAGAGCTGTGCTTAGCCACGCCCACCTCATCCTTCTGCATCGCAGCTCGCTGCAAGGGAAGGGAAACTGCGAGATTTTAAAACCATTTGTTAGGCTTTGCCAAAATTGCTTAATGGTCTTAAAATCAAAATAACTGTGGGAGGCACCTGAAAATAATTCCGAACAATGGGTAAGTGGTTTCAATTCGGAATTGCTCCTCCCACTATTCCTGCAAGGCTCGAAATTGATTCAAAAGGGACTTTAATCTGAATTAATTATGATTTTAGAAGCTTCCAAACGAACTTGCCCAAGCCTAATAATCATCAATCAATAGATGGGAAGTGTTCCTAACCAAGAAAGGGGAAGTTGGAATCAAGGCTGACTCCTTTAGTTTCTGAAAAGGTCAAAATCGTGGAAGTGAAAACAAGCTGACTTGGCTTCCCTCACCAAGAATTATGAGATCTTCACAAAGGGAGCCTAAGAAGGCTTTGGCAAAATGAAAAAAGAAAAAAAATCCTAAATGAGTACTTAGGTGAGGACAGAAAATGAAGAAAGAAAAATATTGTGAGTGAGGTGTAGGAGGGGAAAACAGGGGAAAGAGAGAGAACACTCATGTGGAAAGAGAGAAAGATTATCTTCATGGAAAGCAAAAGAAGAGGAAGAGCAGCTGGATAGGTGATGGGATCACAAGAGCATGAGGATTTGTGGCTGGACATGTGAGCTGAACATCTAGGTATGTGAGAAAGGAAGAGGAAAAACTCAGGGGAGTGATGAAGACAAATTGTTTTGTTATTATTTAACCTGAGCATTACTGCAAAAGGAGTACCTGGGCCCAGGCGGTGCTCATTTCCCAGAAGAATTTATGTACCATCCCTACGAAAGCCTGGAATTCTTTGTCCTCATAGTCAAAGCGGTTCCCAAAAACAATAGAGCAAATGATGTTGGAGAATGCACAGCCGAGGAAGAAGGTAGGATCAAAAGGATTTTCTGCACAGCAAAGAGAATGAATGAATGAAGAATCAGTTCACAGAAGGTCTTTCTGGTGCAAAGAACAGGACCAAATGCACCCTGTGTCCACTAATTAACATGCAATGGAAGCTGTAATCAGGCCCATAGCCAGAGATAAATTTGGGGAGAGAGAGTTGAAGCATGTTTTTAGCGAATCAAAAAGACTAGGTCCATAACCCAAAATAATTTAAATTATATTATTCATTCTATATTTTGTATAGACTTAATTAAATCAAATTTGTATTTTAGTTACAATGTTTCAAGTCTTTTAAACACCTGGAAATGATTCTTAATTGGTAATTTAGTGGTTACAAAAGAATACTACATTGTCTGTAGGTAATACTTGAAAACTTTGTCAATACACTTTGGCAGAAATCAGACTCCATCGATAGACTTCAGCAGACACTCAAGAGTGAAAGTCCAGTCAGTCTTCATTGTCCCATTGTGCTTCTAATGTATATTTTCAAATATTTCAGCGTTGAAAATGACTTTTCATGCTTTGACAAGTCTGTTTTGAACATATGCGAGGAACCCTAACTTTTCCACCCATAGATTCAACCATTGATCGAGGAATCCTAACTTCTCCACCCACAGATTCAACCATTGATCTTCTTGTGTTAAAAATCTCCTGAAATACTTTCACATACTTGCTTACTTACGTAGGCAATCCCTTGTTGTTCAAGTAAGATAATCCTCTAAGTCAGTGGTTCTCAACCTGTGGGTCCCCAGGTGTTTTGGCCTACAACTCCCAGAAATCCCAGCCAGTTTACCAGCTGTTAGGATTTCTGGGAGTTGAAGGCCAAAAACATCTGGGGATCCACAGTTTGAGAACCACTGCTCTAAGTGCAGTGTCCTGGCAGAGGGTACAAATGTGACTGTGGATTCTTGACCTCCAGTCTCCTCCAGTGAAAGCATCGGTTTCCAGGAGGAAGGTGGTCCCGGTCAGGGTTGATTTGATTTGCCTTCCTCTTGTCTCATTTCTCCATTTTGCCCTCCATTCATGCCTCTTCAAATTCCACAGCACTGCTAGTCACAGCTGACCTCCAGCTACAATGCTCAAGGAGCAGGGCTTCCCAGTTCTCTGTATCTATACAACAGTTTTTTCGACACAGGCATTTGACATAGTGAATAGCAGTGCTCTCTGGACCATCCTCCAAAAAATCAGGTCCCCTAATAAATTTGTGAATATCCTGTGGCTCCTCCATGATGACATGATGGCAACAGTCTTGGACAGCAGTGGCTCCCAAAGTGACCCATTTAAGGTGGAATCAGGTGTCAAACAGGGATGTGTTATTGCCCCAACTTAATTCTCCATCTTCATCACTATGATACTACATCTTGTTGATGGGAAGCTTCCCATCAGAGTGGAAATCATCAATCGGACAGATGGCAAGCTATTTAACCTCAGCAGAGTGAAAACCAAAATGAAGGTTACAACAACATCTGTGATAGAACTCCAGTATGCTGATGACAACATCACCTGTTCACATTCAGAAGAAGACCTACAAGCCACTCTAAATACCTTTGCAGAAACATATGAGAAGCTCGACCTGTAATTGAACATCAAGAAAACCAAAGTGCTCTTCCAGCAGTCACCAGCCAATCCATCTTCAATGCCAGAGATGCAGTTTAATGGTGTAACATTAGAAATGTTGACCATTTCTGCTATCTTGGCAGCTACCTCTCCACCAAAGTCAACATTGACACTGAAATTCAACACCTCCTGAGCTCTGTGGGTGCAGCATTTTTCCGAATGAAGCAGAGAGTGTTGAGGACCAGGACATCCGTAGGGATACCAAGGTGCTTGTTTATAAAGCTATTGTCCTCCCAACCCTGCTATATGCCTGCAAAACGTGGCCTGTCTACAGACGTCACATACAACTCCTAGAACGATTCCATCCGCCTCCAGAAAATCCTGCAAATCTCTTGGGAAAACAAGCGGACAAATGTCAGGATGCAATTGATATTTTTATCCTTCAGAAGTTTGGTTCCATCTGATGAGAGTAGAGGGTGTGTGCCATGATTTCTTGGTCCGTAGATGACTTTTGTGGCTTTAAAAAATCCCTGAGTATCATGGATGTCTGCAAAGTGTTCGATTTCTTCAGCCTTCTTTGTTAACCAGATGTTCTTGAGTTCTCTGGTCTTTCTTTGGACCTCAGCTTTTGCACTGGCATAGATCTTTTCCTTAGCAGTGCAGTTGGTGTCTCTCTGCCATCTTTTGAAGACTTTCCTTTTCTTATGAATTAACTGTTGGATCTCTTTGTCATTTTCATCAAACCAATCATGACGTTTCTTAGTTTTGGATACTTCTGTGATATAATTGCCTGTGCACCACTAATGTGACCACTCATATTAGCAGCTCCATCATAACCCTATCCACACAAATATTGCAGGCTCAGTCCATTTTTTTCCAGTGTTTTCAAAATAATGCCTGCAAGTCCTCCACCCGTCATATCACTGATCTTCTCAAAGACTTTAAAGTCTTCTCTTATTCCTGCAACTTTGACAACAACATACCTTACCAAGAACAATAACTGTTCTGAGCTACTCACATCCAAAGTTACATCTGTCAAATTGCATGGCAACTTTCGATTTTGGACTATCTTGTCTATTAGTTCATTCTGTATTTGAAGACTAGAATATTGGGCATTCATAGCTGCAGTTTCAAAATGACTTTTCAGGTAATTTTCTCCTGATCTGGCAAGATATCTCAACAAAGCCATGAAATTACCATCTTTGTGCAAAGGTTCTGAAGGACAATCATTTCTATAATTGCCAGAAGTTTATTTCTGTTTTCTTCTGTTTTCTTCTGCTTTCCTTTATCGTGATGATGGGTTACATCAGGATGTTTTCCACTATTAGCAAGAGGTTTTCAGCCAAGCACAAGTTGTTCTGTTGGTACTTTGTTTTTTTGGTGTCCATTGAAAATTTCTGTTGCATTTTTCCATCACACAAATGGTCAGACAACCAATGCACTAAGCTTCTGATGACCACCTTTACCCCTAACTTCTCCTCCAAACACCACACATTACTTACAGAGTGCACCTTGTAGATTAAATGAGTAGGCTAACCAGGGAAGTCTGCTGAACCATTTGGGTTGAAAACTTAGATGCCTCTTCTTATCCACAGGAAATACATATTGTTCTGTCGCCGCTGGGCCTGTAATTAGTTGACTTTAAAAATAGGATGTGTAACCTTTGCCCAGCGGGAAGCCAGGGGCCTAAGGAGAAGTTCTCAGAGGTTTCCACTACAAAGAATCTTCAGATGGCTAGAGAAGTACAACAAAGGCCTTTATTAATGAAATCAAACAGGAACTTCAAGGCTTTCTTGATAAAGTATTGGTTCTCTCAATCTTGTCCACAGGGGACAGGCACTATCTTCAATAACGTTTTCTTTAAAGGAAAATTCCCATTTTTAACTTCTCCCAGGCTGACTGAAATCCAACCCTCACTGATGTGTGCTCCACTACCGGGCCGAACTGCTTCTCGGACGTTGAGTGGACCAACCAGCAAGACAGTGGATATTCTCCAGCTGGAGTTCTTTAGTCTTTAAGGCTGTTTTCCTGGAAATTCCCAAAGCTGTGGGAATGCTTCCCTGGAGTTCTTAGGAGACTCTTAAAGCTGTTCTCCTCTGGATTTCTTTCCTTTCTGTTTCTGTTGGAATTTCTGTAACCCTGGAAATTCTTAAAGCTTGAAGCCTTTGTACAGGGGAAGTTACACACATCCTATACAAAAACTAACCTGGCTGATACTAACTAACAAAATGGCTCACTTCCAATCCAAAGCCCAAAAAAGGGGGCGGGACTAGGGAACCTAATGATAATTGACAAGCAATTGACCCAATAACTGCAAAGTAAGGAAAGCCATCTAACTGCAAAGGCATAGAACTTTAAAATACATGCAGTAATCAACAAATAGCAAGGGAAGCTGGAGCTCCTGGTGCGGCTGTACCAGAACACATATCCTGCCTATCATGAGGCCAAAATTTAACTCCTAACACGAGGCATGCAATAAAAGGTAGACCTCAGTATGTGATGACAAAGTTAATGAGTGAAATTGCCTGTGCCTTTCCACTCCAATTTTGAGGGTGGTTTCAACCCCTAACCCTCCTCCCTTCACTACAAGGCCTGGTTATGGTCCCTCATGGTTGAGTGAGGATTACAGTCCTTTCACTGAACAGAATGAGTCCAAGCTCTCTTTGGCACATCTCTTACCCTTTGTCTTCCGAAATTCCTCCAGCAGGAATTGGGCCTCCTCTTGGATTCGCTCTTCAATAGACTTTTTCCCCATTCCAAAACTCCTCAAGACCGTGAGGGAGAACCGGCGCAGTTCCTTCCAACGTGTTCCATTGGAAAAACTCACTCCTGAAGGCAAAAGGAGATAAATGACATGGGTTATTGTAGGTTTTCCACAGATATATAAACCCTATTTTCCTAGTTTCCAACAGACCTCACAACCTCAGAATATGCTTGCCATAGATGCAAGCAAAACGTCAGGAGAGAATTCTTTTAGAACATGGTTATATAGCTCAAAAAACCTACAACCACCCAGTGATTCCGGCCATGAAAGCCTTCTGCAATAAATAAATGACATGGATAGCAGAAACAAGAATGGGACCATTATTGTAAATGTAGTTGTGATGCCTCACCATATCCCTGGAAACTAGGCTCCAATGAAGGCATGGTAGTCCTTCCACTGAACTCTTCTGCCTTGTCTATGAAGGCCTCCTTCACAGCTTGGTGTCCACATAAGACCAGAACTGGACGTGTCCCAAAATAGACGGTGAAAACAGGGCCATATTTTTCACGTAGCTGTAGGGGAAATCAATCTTTCACATCTAGCACAACCTTTTTGATAGGCAAACATTTTGTAATTGTGTCCTTTGAGAGAGATGACTGCATCATTTGCGGTCAAGTAGCACCTTTCAACATATGCTGAATCTTAATGTGGATTCTCGATTTCAGTTGAAAACAAGCACTTGATCAGAGTAGTGATCCAATGGGTTGAACATTTGGTTCCACATGCTTGATCCATCCAGTTGAATTGGTGTATGAGTTCTGCAGTACAGACACACTCTAAGGCAGTGGTTCTCAACCTTCCTAATGCCGTGACCCCTTAATACAGTTCCCCATGTTGTTTTGACCCCCAACCATAACATTATTTTCATTGCCACTTCATAACTGTTATTTTGCTACTGTTATGAATCATCATGTAAACTATCTGATCTGCAGGATGTATTTACATTCACTGGACCAAATTTGGCACAAATACCCAATATGCTGGGATTTATAGTTCACTTACAATGAAAAGCATTCTGAACTCCACCAATGATGGAATTGAACCAAACTTGGCACACTGAACTCCCATGATCAACAGAAAACACTGGAATAAAGAATAAAGAAATAAACGCTATCCAAGAAGATATAAAAGATGTTAGGAAAGATAACGCAACACTGAAGAAGAACTATGGCAAAGTAGAACATAAAATAATGACGCTAGAGGTAGTAAACAAGAAACTGGAAAGACAACAGGAAGTGTGGGCCAGTAAAGAAACCGAATTTCAACTGCGATTTAGAAATATTGAAGAAAATGAAGAGGACTCCCTGAGAAATATCGTGACTGGAATTGCTGCCGAAATTGTAAATATGAGTAAAGAGGAAATGAGTAGAGAAATTGATACCCTCCAATGAGTTAATTCGAACTATGCCAAGAAGAATAAGGTCCCCAGGGACATTGTGGTTAATTTCTGTCGAAAAAGTCTGCGTGATGATATCATAAAGATGAAATCTAAAATCCAACCCATGTACAAAGGAAAGAAAGTGATAATACTTAAGGAGTTTTCGACAACATCAATGAATAAAAGAAAAAAATATTACTTTCTTACTGACAAATTAAAAAAACATAAAATCAAATTCAGATGGGAGAGACTTGAGGGAATCTCAGTGTCATACAACGAAAGCAAATTCTGGTTGACGTCAGAAGACAAAGCCAAGGAATTCTATAAAACACTTAAAAGAGATCTGGATAAGGGACAAACCACAGCTAAAGATGAAACACCCTCGGAAAAGAGGAATGAGACAAGGAGGGAGGAAAGGAAAGGAAAAGCATGGGGGGGAAAGGAGAAGAAAAGACCCAGACCAGACTCTACGGAAGACGACGAAGGAGAAAACAGAATGGGAACCGCTGGGCAAGATAACCAACGAGAACAGGACGATGAAGAAGTTAGCGATATATGTTAAAAATGTAAATGGAATGAACTCACCAAATAAAATAAAACTAATTTTCAATGTACTTAAAAAGGGGAAATTTGATTTCATTGCTCTTCAAGAAATTCATATTGCACAGAGACACAGCTTTTATTTAACACAGACACAACTGGGCAAAGAGTTCCATTCACTAATACCACAAAAAAGAGGGGGGTGGTAATTTATGTTAAAAATACCATAAATGCAACCTTTGCATTCAAAGATGAAGAAGGCAGAATGATAGGGATCAAAACCAAAATAAATGAAAAAGAAACACTCATCTGCAACATCTACGCCCCGACAGGCCCGAAAACAAAATTCATAAAAGTGCTAAGAAAGAAGCTACAAGAACAATCCTATGAAAACCTAATTTTAGTTGGTGACTTTAACGGTGTCTTGGACTGTAATCTAGACAAAACAAATACAAAAAGAAAAGACCCAAATGGAGGGAAATTACCGGCAAGTTTTCTACATCTAAAAAAAGAATTATTTATGAAGGACGTCTGGAGAGAAAGAAATCCGACGGAAAAGGATTTCACATTCTATTCGGACAGATATAACTCTTGGTCTAGAATAGACATGGTCTGGGCAACCAACTCCACGCTAAGTACAATAAATAAGATCAAAATACTTCCCAGAACCAACACGGATCACTGCCCGATATTAATCGAACTACGAGGGGAAAGGCACCAGAGGAAATGGAAACTGAATGAATTCCTGCTAAGATCAGACAAAGACATAGAGATCAACAAAAACCACATCAAAGAATTCTTCAAGTTTAACAGCAATAAAAGAACCAGAACCAAGGTGGTCTGGGATGCCTGCAAGGCAGTGATGAGAGGGCACTTCATCCAACAAGGGGTTGCCCGAAATAAGAAAAGACATGAAGAGCAAGAAGAGTTTAAAAAGAGAATAAATGACCTGGAAACAACTTTAAAAAGAAGACCTGGAAACAAAAAAATTAAATTGGAACTTGAATTGATAAAGAAACAACTGAATTCAACGCAGCTAGAACAAATAGCAAAAAATCTCAAATACACAAGGGTAAACTATTTCACCAACGCGAACAAGCCAGGGAAGCTTTTAGCTAAAAAATTGACAAAAAGAAGACAACAATATTATATAACGAAAATAACGAAAGAGGGGGAAAGCTATCACACAGAAGAGGAGATCAGGAAACAATTCACAATGTTCTACAAAGAATTATATCAAAAAGAAGAAATAAAAATGGAAGAAATAGTCAACTTTCTATCAGAACACAAACTAGATAAAATAAATGAAATACAAAAAGAAAACCTTAATAAACAAATAGACGAAGAAGAGATAAAAAGAACAATTCAAAATCTCCCTAACAACAAAGCACCCGGGCCTGATGGACTAACAACAATATTTTACAAAGTATTTCAAAACGAGCTTATCCCATACCTGAAAGAGTTATTCAACAACATTCTACAACACGCAAAAACCCCGGAATCATGGCAAGAGGCAGTCATCACTTTAATTCACAAAGAGGGATCGGAGACAGACAACGTAAAAAATTACAGACCGATATCGCTTCTTAATAACAATTATAAGATCTTTTCCAGCATAATAGCTAACAGAATGAAAACATACTTAAGCAACATCATTAATGAAGACCAGACCGGCTTCTTGCCAAAAAGGCAGATGAGGGAAAACCTCAGAACGATACTCAACATAATAGAATACTACGAAGGAAATCCACAAAAAGAGTTAGGTTTGCTGTTTGTCGATGCTGAGAAGGCATTCGACTGCGTCAATTGGAATTTCATGTTGCAGATTATCAAGGAAAGGGATATGGGCTTCTACTTTTCTAATGCGGTAAATGCCATCTATTCCAAGCAAAGTGCAAAAATCAGAGTAAATGGACATGATACAGAAAAAATCGAAATAATGAGAGGCACCAGACAGGGATGCCCTCTGTCTCCTTTACTTTTTATTGTGTCGTTTGAGATACTTCTTGATGAAATAAGAAGAGATGACAGTTTGAAAGGCACCGAGATAAGGAATGAAGAATACAAGCTAAAGGCATTCGCGGATGACATCGTATGTATAGTAGAAAACCCATTGGAAACCATTCAGAAATGGACGCAAAAATTTGAAAAATTTGGAAGAGTGGCTGGATTAAGAATCAATAAAGCCAAGACAAAAATCTTAACCAAAAATATGAACAAAATCAAGAGCTATAAGTTACAGGAAATTTCTCAATACGAAGTCTCCAGCAAAATAAAGTATCTGGGAATACAATTGACATCCAATAATTCACAGTTGATTAAACACAATTTCGACCCAACATGGAAGGCCATCCAGAAAAAGCTAGAAACTTGGAGCCAATTAAGATTAAATCTTCTTGGCAGGATCGTGGTTGTTAAGATGAGTGTTTTACCGAAATTGATTTTTCTATTTCAAACAATCCCTGTCCTTAGAACTACCCATTGCTTTCTTCAATGGAAAAAAGACATCCAAAAATTTGTATGGGGAGGAAAAAAGACTAGGATCAAATATAAAATAGTAACAGATGCAGTAGAAAGAGGCGGTCTAGGCTTGCCTAACCTACAGCTATACTATGATGCCTGCGCCTTATCCTGGGTCAGGGAATGGGCAACTCTTACAAAGAAAAAATTACTAAATCTGGAAGGTTTCGACATTAGGAGGGGCTGGCACGCCTATCTGTGGCTCGGCAAGGCAAAAATCGAAAAGAACTTCACAAACCATTTTGTCAGGGCCGCCCTCCTGAAGATATGGGAGAAATATAAAAGGAACTTCTATGATAAAACACCATCCTGGTTCTCCCCCACAGAGGCCTTCCATAAAAGAGAAGTCCCAAGCGAAAACTGGTACACTTATAAAGAGCTTATAGAGAAAAAAGAAGGCCAATGGACCCTAAAATCTCTGGAAGAACTAAGGAAACTAGAGATAAACCTCTCTTGGTTCCAGTACATACAGGTGAAAGAAAGCTTCAAGGAAGATAAAAAAAAGGGCTTTGCACTACAAGACACGTTTTGGGACAGGATAATGAAGAAGGAAAAGAAAGTAATAAAAGCATTATATCAAAAACTACTCGAATGGAACACAGAGACAGAGCTAATTAAAGACAATATGGTAAAATGGGCCAAGGATTTTGGGCACTCCATCCTGCTCAGAGAATGGGAGAAAAAATCAAAGGAAGGAAAAAATCAAATATACAAAGACAGCCAATATAACTGAAAACTGGAAAAAAATGTTTTTTCGCTGGCACATCACTCCGCACCAACTCGCCAAATTTCAAAAAGGAGCAAATAATAATTGTTGGAAATGTGGTAAACAACTAGGTACTTACTTTCATGTCTGGTGGCAGTGTAAAAAAGTAAAAAAAAAATTGGTCTGAAATACATAAGCAAGTACAAAGAATCTTACAGATGAAATTTGAACTTAAACCGGAGTACTACCTCCTCCACCTACTGGACTTCAACATGGATAAAAATAAGGACAAGTTATTTTTCCACCTGACAGCTGCAGCAAGAATTTTGATTGCAAGTATGTGGAAAAAGAAAGAATTACCAATAATA